CCCCAAAACCCCAAAACCCCAAAACCCCTTAAAGTAATTATCATCAATGTTTTGAATTAGTCTTTAATAATATAAAATTCATAGTTTTTCCATTATTTTACAAATCGGAAATTATGTTTATCTAAATATTTTAGGTCATTGTTTGCCACGCTCCACCACCTCTCTGGGTAGAAGAATCGTTTGAAAAAGTTTCTTTGAGTGAGATTTATGAGACAATACTTAATCTACGGCTACTATTGATTTGCATATGATCTCCATTATGTCCTGGTAGCAAATTTACAATGTCTGAAATGCTATTTTGCTGCTTAGAGTGGTAATTTCCTTTGGTAAATTTAAACTTTGATGATTAAGGATATTAAGTGTTAAACTTTTGCTTATTTTAATCACTATAGGCTTCACTAATTTTGATAATTTTTGACTAAGAATTTACTCTTTATTATTGTTTTTTATTCTGATATTTTTTCAGCATTATTTGAACCCTCAAAAGCATAGTACTAGTTTAATGAGAATGTCTCAAAGCTATTGACTTCCTATGCAAACAAATAAGTTCTTTCTCATTTTTAGGATCACATATTTGCGATGACATTTTTTTTAAATTTTAGAAGAGAAGGTTTTGGAGACTTAGTATACAGGAGATTATCTGACTATAGCTACTGTAGATATTACAAATTTTGCTAACCTAATTTAGTAAAAACCTTCATAACTTTGTTAGTATCGGAGGAATTGTTAGTATTGTAGGTATTTAAATAAAACCCTTGTTTCTTTAAAGGGATTAAAACAATTCTAATTTCTTTGCTATTCCTGAACCTTCTAAGACAAAACAGATTGGTTTAAATGTATTTCAGAAGTGGATATAAGGTAGAAAGGGAATATATCTGAAACTACTTTTCAAATGTTTTTGAGGTCCTGCCTAGTTTGACACATAACTCACTATCAATAATTTTTGTATTAAAGTGATTAGTCTGTCTCTAATTCTGTAATTATTACCTTAAATTCTTTAGATTTTGATAGTAGGTTTATACTTATCAATAAACTCCTACCAAAGTAGTTCAGCTCTTGTAATTTGAAAGCTTTAAATATCTTCCATATTGTTAATAATAAAGTACCTTATATCTTTCAAGCTTAAATCAAGGGCTTTTTGCTATCTAACTTTAATTGCATATACTTCTTTGAAAAGTTGCCAAAAGCCTTGTCTATCTTGGTTAATTTATCATTAGAGGCAAGTATTCTTCAATAGCCTTTAATTATTATTCATTTTTAGGAAAATTATCATGATCGAGCTATCCAAAGTTATTATAGATTTATTTCTCCTGCTAATAGATCTTATTCATTTACTCTTGCAAATTTAGACTCTCTTACACAGATCTATCAAATCAATTCCGATGTTATTTATTTTGTTTATTATATTTGGTTTGGTCATCAGTCAAAATATTTTTAAGTGAGGCTACATTTACTTAAAAGAAGAGTCCTTAGTCTGTTTCCCTCAAAATCCATTGGCAAGAGCTCGAAAACTAGTGATTTTATCATCATTACCTAGCATGCACGATTACAAGCCGAATATTGTTGTTGTTGGATCAGATTAAAATCAGGTTAAAGTTACTTTGAGTATTGTAAACCTATTTATCGTGATTGATTTGTAGACAGGCATTAAATTTGAACCGATTTTAACTAGA